GCACAGGCCTTAGAAACCTTTGCTAATATTTATAATTTATTCTCTTTACTTAAGTTTAATCACCCCTCTCCCAACATTATATGTTTATAGTAATACTCAGTGAAACTCACTATCCAGAATCGCTGTAATAGTAATCCTGAAATAACTGAAGTCATCAAGATCAAATATAATTTATAGGTTAGTTGAATATTCAAATTATGATAACACTTACCAGAAGCCTAATCATGACAATGACAAGTGAAAATGATAATGATATTGATATTAATAATATTGTGATGATAGTTTTTGATAATGATGAGATCTTCTTCTTCTTCCTCTTCTTTAAAATTGAGCAAATCTTGTGAGAAAGTGTACAAAGTTTGTTAAGGATAAGTTATCACTTCAAGATCTATTGTTTTCTATATAAAACTTTTGTAAACTTGAGCTGATAATAATTAATATAATTATTTAAAGTGAACAATTAATTATAGAAGTGCTATGAAAAGTTCTTTTTCAGTTATAGTATATGACTGATCCTTTTTGAGCTTGCCAAATATTATGATCAAGAATTTTCAGAATAACAATATAAGAACAGTTTATATTAATATAATGCTAATTATAATGTTTATTCAATGGTTAGCTATTACTAAATATGTAAATTTTTATTAAAAAGCCATAACATGTGTCAATCTGTTGTATATTACAAAGAAATCCATTTTATATTGTTTTAGAATTTTACCACGTCCCTACATGAGATCACCTGACATTTCTTGAGAAAATTGTTCTACTTTAAAACCAAAGTTACACACCAACATTCAAAAATTATTCTTTCGTCATGTTTCATTTGAAATTTTATTGCTGCAATTAATTGAGTACCCATCTTTAAAGGCAACCTTCTTTTGGGAAAAAGTCTCCATAAGGAGCGAAATTTAATATTATCTTGTTATGCTAAAGCGAATTACTTTTGTTGAACAAATTTCCTGATATTATTCATTTTGAGAAACTCGAAATTATATTGAAAACAATATTCTAATAAATTTCCAACCGCAACCCCTCCCTAAATAATTATATATCTTCTCAATCTCTCTGAGATAAGAAATACCTTATATTAATAACCCTTACAATCAAATTCAGAAAATCAAGTGTGAATTCGAATACCTTTCCTAAACTTTCTTCTCCCAAAAATATCAAGTCGTCCATCTGATATTTTGATCTAAATGCGCTGACATCGACTGGAATTGGCACAAAGTCATCAATTACCATAGGTTCTGGATCTTCATAGCTTATTTCATTATCAACAGAATCGGTGACTTCGTTATAGCATATTTCTTCAAGATTTGTTACTCGTTTATTATCAACTGCAGGAGTAGTAATGAATAATGCGTCTTTTTCATTATCAATTACTATCGCCTTTGAGGTAGGTTCACTTTTATATAATTCTAAAAATACATTCGATCTCTTAATATTTCACGAATTCAATACAACAGGAAAATTTTAAACCTCTAAACCTGGATGTTCATGCAAAAAGCTGCATTCTGTCCCACGTGCGCACCCACTAGGCCGATTGAAAAATTTACACACTTGAGGGTGACCCACAAACTGATAATCTTTCTTTATGGCATTGCTGAGGCTGTTATTATTGTGACCGCCGCAACCTATTGAAAACGACGAGGAGGAGCCAGTGTTTGTATGTAGAAAAGGGCACGAATCACCCTTTTTACAAAATCCTGCTTTGAAGTAAACGCATTGAATATTGAATTGGCTCATGTTTTGGTAAATTTTTTGGATAAATAAGAAAGTATAGACGTCGCTATATCAAACATAATAATACATTTTTTTTATTAACGTCATTGTTTACAAGTTATTTTATAAAGTAATGATAAACCACTCGTATACATACATATAATTGGATAAAGTCTCATTATTTCCACCTGTGAGAAATTCCCCTGTAAAAATTACAGAGGTTTCCCCCTGCAAAAACCTGCAAGCCGCAGGGCATTATATACAACAATTATATAATGTCTTGTGTTATGTACGGATTACAGGGAAACTTTTTATAGGGCCATTTAACAGACTCCGTATTATTTACCAAATTCGTTCATATTGTGATGTCATTAAAAATGCCGACAAACACTGACTGGACTGGGAATAGCATAAAACTGGGTATTCTACGACAAAAATAAGATACCAGGGTAGGCTTACAAGAAATAAACATTTATTCAAGTCACTGATATGCAATTTCATAATACTTCACGCAAAAAAATGACAATGAAAATAATTTCGATAAGATAGATTATGATTACAATCTTGACGAATACCGATACGATGAAAAAGACTTCTAAGTCAGCATCATCTCGCACAACACTCACAGTAATAACTACATACAGTGCATGCCATAACAAAAATCGCATTTTATTAATTATTCTATGAGAAAAGATTGAAAGTATCTTATCTCAATAGAAATTATTATGGTGCAAACGGTCTAAAGCCATCCAATACTGCGCCACTGCTGAATTTTTTGAAGGATGATTAATTCCATATAAGGTAAAATATAGAATATGTACGTATATCGATATACATGTACATGTACGTACATGTATAATGTTACAAGAAAAAAAGCATGCATTTTTGCATAAATAAATTTATAATAACGTATTTTTTTATGATTTGATATATTATATATGAATCCTATGTAATTCAAAGTATTGGATGGCTTTAGATTGTTCACACCATTATTTTTTATTAATTTTGAGATTCAGCAAAAATAAAAAATCAATATCAAATAAATCAAATTATTATTAATATATAAAAATTTTATTTATATATTTTTAATACCTTTTAAATAAGTTTAATTAATTTAATAGTATATTATTCTCATTAATCGTTTTATTTTGATGAAAAAAGAGATAATTATAATTTAACGAGAATCATATATTCTATTCTAAAATCGTTTTTAATTAAGAAATAAATATTCAAATGATTTCAATTTTTTTATATGATGACGTAACGAATAAAAATGTTTAAATCATTAAATATTGAAAAACTCGAATTGAGACAAAATGTCTATCTTGGTTATTTCGAGAACAAAAAAATCAAAATTTAGATGTATATTCTTTATTGAAAGCTGGATAAGTTTATTTAGGACTTATTTGAATACTGGCTTAATAAAATTCTTTTCAATTACAAATTAAATTTTAACAATCATTTTAATTATTAAAAAAATGGAGATTAAAATAAATATTAAGAAAAATTATAACAAAATTATATTAATCATTTTTCTAAAGAATGTGATTCTCATTATTTATCGTTATGGCCTAATGTAGATCTTCCAATAAAAACAAGTTTTGATTTTTTGAGCATTATACGACATGGTTATTCATATATACAATTTCTCATTTGATATCTACCTTTTTTTTTTAATTTAAATTATAATAATAGTTCATCCAGTTTACAACCCTCATTATCATTATTAAACTAAGAGGAGACGAATGGAATTTCATAAAGTGGACGATACCGATATCTTGCGTATGATGGAAAAGTTTATATTCGTATGAAACAGACCAAAGTGCATAAACATCTTTCTTGGAGCAACATAGATCATCAGGATTACTGAAAATTACCGTACAGCGCTGCCAATAGTACCCCCCTGAGATAGTATCCCCCATCTTGCTGATAAGCAATTTGCGGACTAATTTTATAAGTAGCGTTTGGTTTTTTCTATGGATCTATTGTGTTTAATGGCAAGATAACCTTCAAATTAGTAACAAATTTTTATATATTGCTCTCGTCATTATGTATCTGGGGTGTACTATTCAAGTTCAAGGGGGTTTTTTGAATAAGGCCGGGGTACTGTAGGCAACGCTATACGATAATCCGAATGCTTCAATTCGCTTAGTTGTTCGTGGATGTGTGTAGAACTTAGATTATTGATAATTTTCCAATTTATTCTTTTTTCGTGTATACACATATATGCCGTAAAGCGCTGACTATAATATCTCGAATGTTTTACATCTACACTTATACCCAGGGATAGGATATTATAATTCATCAAAATACACATTGAAAGTCGATATAACGTTCCTACTACCATGTTGTCCGGTAAATCGACGGATTTGCTATAACAGACAAAATTTATATAATACTATTTATACATGTAACTGATTCCGAAAAATAGTCCGTTATAGACTGAATCCGCTATATCGATTGTCCGTTAATATTGACTTCACTGTGTATACCTATGTAAAGTACCCCTTATATATGTCATATGCCAGTTTAAAACAATCGCATATAGGAGCTTTCACTTTCAAAAATAGTACGCGCGAAGAGCATGTAATACTCGACGGAGTTTGGTGCCTACAAGAAAAGCTAATGTTTATTCATTAGTTGGAGCTTAATTCACACAAGATATATGCTATCCCACCACTGTGTTTAATACCCGGATATTTTGCAAAAATCAATAATCAAATCTTTAGATAGTAAGTACTATGCATATGTATTAATATAGTCAGCGCTCTAGGTCAGAATACATTGATTATCTAGTGACAAAGAGCTAACTATTTACAGAATAACACACATTCACGACCCAGTTGTAATTTTGCCAGAACAAAAATTCACTTGCCTGCCAAAATCAATGATCTCGTTATTTTCTTGCCAAAAGAGAATTAGATCGATATTGACATCATTTTTCATTACGGAAACGAGGGATGTGTGATGTTTTTTTGTTCGGGAAAGATGAGAATACGGTAAGTATTATATTGTTATTTTTCAGGAAATTATTTTGATGTTCCATAGTCGGTCAATATATGGGGTGGAGTCACTTATAGTTGGGTACCTAAACCATGTGATGCTATTTGGCACACGGTTTTGGTTATAGTTTAGGATTATACGGTTTTTACAACTCTATAGTCAAAACCAGTGACAATTAAACGTCACCGGTTTAGGCGCCCAACTATAACAGTGGAGTCAGTAGAAAAGGGACAAATCTATTAGAGGAATTTGTCCCTTTTCAACTGACTTTCCACCCCATATGGATAAATGCAAGTAATTTAGTATTGAATTCAGGCCGTATTTCGTCTGTTGACTTAATAAAAATCAATATTTGACAATCAAAATTACTAGAAATACCAAAATCTCTTATTTGATAATAATTTTATTTTTAAAATATGACTCCACCTCTAGCTAACAAAATAACTACACAGTTCATTAAACATAAGTGATCAGATAATTCAGTTTAGTAATTCGGTCTATCAAAACTATAACTATTCTTGAATAAACTTCGGTTTAGCGAGGCGAGTTTACTATAAATACGTAGTGTCACCAAATAACTTTGATTTTTTTAAAAGCAGAACTATATTTTCTAGGAAAAAAATAAAAGATCACGCTGTTATTCCAACTACATATACGTACTCTTAATATTAAATAGTTGATCACGAGCACTACTCGAATTGGCATCTGTTAAATATATCTTTACACTAGAAAATCCCAACGCTCTCACATAGAAAAAGGGGTGATCGCGGCGAACCACGAGCACCCCTAACCAAAAATCGTCCTGTTGAGATACCCATATGGGGTATTCAAAGTAGCAGCCATCAGCGTTGTGCAATGCTAGCAGCCACCACTTGTCCAACTACCTTCTTGATAATAGAAGAACCCAGGCAGGTAAGTATAAAAAAACTTAGACGCCTAGAGGGGTCATATTTATAGAATTTTAGTAGTTCTGATTATATACATTTTAAATTGTGGGATAAGAAATTTATGTAATGATCTGATGTAATGTACATTATTCTAACCTATTGTACCATTTTATAAGACCGAATGTTAAGCACATAACAGGCAGATATAATTTATGTTACAAATTTGTCTGTTATGGTGTTTTCTTATTTTGTCAGGGGTAGGGTCTATCGCCTAATAAAAACTATAAATTATTATCTTGATAATTTGTAATACAAAGTTCTTTACAACGGCCGCATTGGATTGGCACTCTTGAGCCGGTATATATAGGGAGTTTTTATATAGTTAAAAATAGTAAAAATCGGGATATCAATACGGTATAAGCCGAATCCGATGTATATACAGCGCCACGCCATTGTAAAGGACTTTGACTGTATTTACTAAAAGTACAAAGGTTATTAACTCAATATATTGAAGAAGCATCGTCATTTTCCTTGTCATTTTCCTCGACTACAGCTAACAAATGATCACATTCTGAACATATATGTAATATTTCTCGACATCCTTTCGATACAAAAGGCACCCAAAACAATGGCCAGAAAACAAAGCAGAACAAAAGAGAATAAGCATAAGCTTTTGTGGCTGGTCTCTTTCTCACAATTGACAGCGTGTATTCTTGACAATTAAGACAGTAAATTCTGGTCGGGTATCTGATATTAATTGTGAAAGGCACACGATTATTATTATTTCTTGACAGTGTGTAAGCAGGTGGGCTGTCTTCTGATGAATTTAAGAGTAAGGGTGAAGCTGAGTCGATTGATGATCGAATTTGGTTTCTATTATTAATGCTATTGTTGTTGCTATTACTATTATTTCTGTTGTTGTTTCTGCGGTTACGAAAACGACGTGAACACCTATTTACCTCTCTTGGGTAATATGGAGGAGGAAGTAAATCTAAATTTTCTGGTTCAGATAGTGCAAAAAGTTGACCTAATGGAATTTCATCATCATCTTGTGTGGCTCGCGGTGTTGCAACTTCAATTGTATTAGTAGTAGTATTTTCAATCATTTTTATGATTTTTTTAGCTAACGCTAATACATGTACTAAAATATGTTAATTTTTATAGGAAAATTTATCGGAATGTGCATTCCTTAAAAATCTAATTATAGATTTATATACATGTACATATTCATATCGATATTGAGTTTCAATTTCAGTTACAGTTACACACTCCAAATACGTACATATAATGCGATAAAATTAGGTTCAGTTACACAATGTTTGGATAGTTAACGTTAAGCAAGGCTGAATTATGATTGAGCTTTATTCTTTTTGTCATTAAGATTTTCATCATGTTTATTCTTTTTGTTATTAAGATTTTCATCTTCATTTTCGTTTTCATCATGCTTTTTCTTTTAGCTCTTCTCAAAATCTAGATTTGCGATTCATTTTTTTGACACCATCTGGACTTCCTTTGAAAAATCCAGATTTTACAGATACAAAGCTTTTCAGATGATCGTGATTCTGGGTAGGAATCCAGATGGTAATAAAAAACACGAAATGAATTGCAACGTTTCATTATACATGTACATGTACATGTAACGGTAATTTTCTTAATTAGCCATAGTTTTACCTTTTTAAGGATGAGGGAACGACTACACGTGTCGATGTAGTTTTCTATGAGAAAGTCAATCTCTTTAAAATTCATTCGATTTGTCTAATCTAGACAATCGAATAGTAGTATTTTCGCTCAAATTGGGTCACTGGCGAAATATTACATACTAAAGTGACCGATTCATATTCATCGATCAATTTTTCATTAGAAATTGATCGCAAAAAAATGCCACGATATCGTCACAATTATGTATCGAATCTTTCTGATTTACCGTGAAGTCCCATGAATAAGCAACTCCATACGTCATCAATTTGGTATCGGTTTTTTGGGAGGGTTGCTTATTCACGGGACTTTCTGAATACTTAATGCCATTGGCCCAACGGTTAAATTATTCGCTGCGCATATATCTATTACGGGTTTCGATCGCGTCGCTAATTTATTGACCATCCAGTTTAGCCATTTCATTGGTACTAAACATTTATTGAAGCTGGTAATTCCGATCGCTACACGCAAGATTGGGGTATACGATGTACTATGTGTAACAAACCTATGAATGGTCACATATATAAATATTATTAGGTATATCGATATCGATATACGATAATGGTAAGTGTTGTATTGTTGAAGTTGTCAGCTCATTGTTGGTTTTCATTATTGGTGGAGGTCGTTTTGGGATTCTTTTGATATTTTTCAAGATGTACTTTATTCGCATTTTTAATTGAAATCGGCGTCTATATGATGTGTAACCTTTACGACTAAATATTTTGAAGTTAATGTTAAATTTAAACATATTAACATTAAGTCCAGAACGAACAAGTTTACAAAGCCAAATTTTATATATTAACTAAAAAAAATTTGAATATTCAACGAAATATAAGATGCAGGTAAAAATACAATTGATTTCTTCGTAAAGATAATGATTAATTTAAATAAAAATTTCGTAACTTTGTAATTATAACGCGTGGAAATCAAATGATATTTAAACAATCTAAAAAGGAAATGTTGTTTAGTCTCCACATCTAAAAATCGGGTCCTCGTTTTTTATAGTTACGTAGTTAATATGAAGTATTAAAGTTTATCAAAATTCTGTAAAAATTTACTATTGATTAATCGTTCTGCTGAAGAATTAGAATTAGGTGAATAAATATATAATATTTTTTATTTTAGTATATAGAAAGGGGTTGCTTATTCAATTTTTTTAAAACTTTTGAACCTAAAGAGGGTAGGGCTGCTTATTCACGGGGATTGCTTATTCATGGAACTTTACGGTATGTAAATGTTTCTAAAAATAAACTCAGCTTTTTCTAATATATCCGAGCACGAATTGAATACATGTAATAACCTCCTTTTGTAATAGTATTTCGCGAAACTTATTTATTTATGTAGATGATGAATGATCTCTATCAATATATTATTATTCCATGGAGCAAAAGCTTGCATCGATCAAGGTTGTGTTTTTCCCAACCAATCCAGGTTCCATTCGAGTCCTTTTAACACAAATTAAATTACCTGCGTCAGAAAATAATCGTTCACTAGACACAGATGTTCTCGGTACAGCAAGAAATTAAGCTGTGTGACGAATGCCTAATATCTTGTCAGGACCAATATGTTATGACGAATATCATCCTAAAGTAATATGATATCAACTAAAGACTGGAATAAGATAACAGATTGGTGACCAGTTAGAACTACAGACATATGAAGTTATCTGTAAAGATCAATTTCATGCCAAATCACTCTGCTACAGATTGATTGGTTCGATTCTTTACACGAAATCAATGCATAAATCTGCGCGAGCAAGAAGCTACTGATTAGTTCAATAAAGTTGAATAATATTATACTGAATCAATACATTGCTGAAATCCCTTAGTAGCTACCAAATCTCTGCAAAATTATAATAAACTATTAGTAAATAGGATGCTGAAATTCTGCTGAGTTTGAAATCTGTTATAACCAAAATTCTGCTGAAATTATAATTAATAATTAAATGTAATCCATCAAAACTCTTGAAATATTTCTAAAGAAATTTTAACAAATATTCTTAGTCTAAGTTCATTAAATATCAACTATTACAATCTAAGAAACTAGAATGAAAAGTTAAATATTATATTAAATGCAAAAATGTAATATTATTAATTAAAATATATAATATTAACACTTAAAGTTATTAAAAAGCTCACTGGAGTTCTTGAATTGACTCATCCTAGATATTTTAAAATCGACTTCTAGCTTTTTGAGCTGAATTCAAATAATCATATGATGAAATTCTTATATATAATGCATATTATATTATTTATTATAATTAATATTAGTTAAACATTATGAATAAAATTTTTAATTATATAAATTAAGAATTAATTATTATAATTAAACTATTAATTAATTATTCAAGTAAATTATATATATTAAAGATTATTTTTATAATTATTATTTATATCTATTAAAGAATTATATACTATATTAAAAAGAGTTTTTATAACTAACTTTTTATTATTTTTTATTATATTTCATTCTAGCTTGCTTTTTTATGTTTTTTAATTTTTTAAGGAAAATTCTTTTAAAAGTAATAATTTTATCAAATCTTATAATATATTTATTAATATTACTAAAAAT